TATGAATAATTGATGTTTACATAAATAAATAAAAATTTGTTTATATATGTATCTTTTTGTAGATAACCCATTTCTATTTCATTGGTTACTTCCTTTTTTTCTAACATTAAGTCAAGTTGTTTTGAAACTTAAAATATCTAAATGTACCTGATTTGCTAAGTATAAATTTATGTACACAGTTTTCAAAGAAAAAAAATTATTGAATACGTTTGTAATAATGATACTGCTTGGTAGATTGAAAAAAAAGTAGACATAGTAAGGTTTGGAAACTGAGATCTGTTTGGTGAAAGCTCAGTATATTGGTTACTAGGTCATATGTTAGTCAGGTTTTACTAAGTTGAAATTTTGTTTCATTAGCAGATTAGTATCATTTATATTGCATATTAGAAACTGACAAGAACTAGTTTGTCAATTGATAACTTTGTCGTAAATTCATAGTTATTATTTTTTTCTGAGTTAAAAATTAAGAATGTTTTTTCAGTTCATGTACCATTCATTGACTTTGTGTTAAATGTAGCCCCATAACTTTATATTATTGTATTGATAAACCGTACTCAGATGAGTGATACTGAAAGATTTCCACAAACCGTATAAACAACATTATTCTCATTATCACTGTGATCAGTAAAGAATCCTGTTGATTAAATATAACATTTGTATTGTAACAGACGACTACTTGTCTTTAGTTTGTTGGAATTCTATAAATACATCCTGTTTTTGTTGACCAAGTAGTGATGTTTATTTAATTCCTCTGAATAGTTCAATACAAAAAATTATTTGTGTTAATGAATACTTCATAAAGAGATGAACGTAGAGATGATGAGCAAACTTCTATTTAGTGTTCATTATGGGTTATATCCCCCATACATATGTGTATTAATGTATGTAGTGGATGCACTTGAACAAGTGACCGTAAAGATCATTTTAACACTCATACTCATTTGAAGCAAATATGATAGTCTCTTGTGAAAGTAAAGTATCACAATGTCTAAATGACTTTCAAATTAAACATACTATTTCCTTGAGAAATTAATTTTTCGTGGAAAAAGATAGTGAATAATCCCAAAATAGAAAAAATCGACTATTTTATACTTCCTAGTGTTTAATGGTCTTTCAACTGATGTCACCATCTTGTATTGAAAATTGATTGCAAATCATTGATACGTTTCACAAAACCACTAATTAATGACTAGTTCTGATGTGAATTTCTCAAAGTTTTATTGGGAAGCCCGAGCTTGTGTGCACACTCTAATCAAGAGTGTGTTAGTAACTCATCGACTACATTTTATGTGGATCATGATACGCCAGGAATTTACTAAAAAAGAAAATGCAAAATATCGGATTTCAACTCAGTGGCTCGGATCGTACCATACTTAAAGGAAGAATTTTTGGTTTGAGCAGTCCTATATTACAGAGTGATTGGTATTATAACGAACCAGATCAAACTGATCAATCTAGTCCCCTTTAGTCAGTACGATTTAACTGTGAACCTAATAAAATTATTTAATTGGTCATAGAAGAAAGTAACAATTATTTATATAGAAAATAATCGATACTAAGTAAATATGGTTAGAAACAATTTGTAACACATTTTATATTACACATGAAAGTTATTGGACAGTTTGTAATCTTCAGGAATTGGATATCAAAAAGGTTTTCTAAACTTCTCAGATCATTGATTATCAATGTGATCGCTAGTCAATAATAACTTGACAGTTAGATGAGATGGTATTTGGGCTTTCCTGAACACCGTATACAAGTAAATATCTGAATTATTATTTAACGATTTTAGATGATTTCATGTTTTAATCTTTAGTAAAGATCTAAAATATATGGCAATGTGCAGTGTACATGTAAGCCTTTTGTTAACATGATTTATTTTAATGTTTCGATTAGTCCTGTGTCAAATTCAGGATTGCGAGTATATATTACACTGTAGAGTGATATTAAACGGGAGATTATGGCAAAAATAGATGATATGTAACGAGTAGTTTATTGTAATAATAATAATAATAATAATAATAATAATATAAGAAAATACGTCGGGAAAACCGTCTAGTATTCGTGGTTAGTTCAGTGGATATCTATTGATCTATAAAGCCAACATCCGAATAAAATAGTTTGACTAAAAGGAAACAGTGATAAACAAATGTTGAATATTTTCACTACAGTTAGTGAATTTATTTAAATGAAGTACATTTTATCTTGTTAATGCAGTATTTTCTTAATCTATTAAACAGCTGGTCAGTTTCATGTTAGTGCATCTATGGTCCTAATAAAATTACCAAAACTCATTTCACTTGCAAGACACTTTTGCATATTAATATGAATCGGTAACGAAGTTTGATTTTCTGTGAATATGTATACAAATAAACTGTGGTAATGATTAGATGGACACATTCACAGTTTGTCAAAATATTTATCCATTTTTCATTTTTAAGTATTTTCCCCGGGTGGTATGTTGAAGTTGAAAATAATTCTCATTATCAGAGGAGTACAAAAGTATGAAGAAACGGTTTTTCCATCTATTCTACGAATTCATAATGATGTAAAGTTCTTGACACATGAATACATGAATATAGAACTCTTTAAGCTTGATAACATGAAAACATTAGTCTTCAGATGAATAACATTGAACGAAAATTGTAGTATATTTAAAAGTATATAAACTTGAAAGATTTAAATTGATGAATCTAGTTGTTTTTTATGAATCATAAAATGTTTTTGGGGGAAGGTTTCATATTCACTCTCGCTTAATGTCATTTGTGAGCTTTTAGTAATATATTTAAAGTATGGTAAGAAACAGTTATACTGGTTAATCACACTAAGTAATAACTAACATAATATTCGTTTGACTATTGATGCTGATCGAATCCCATCTATTAAACAATAATTCAGCTATAAGTTTAAGTTAATCGGTACATACCGTTTTGATATTAGGTGTTTGGAGCCAATCAACACGAACTAGTAAACCTAGGTTTCTGACGAATCTGTAGTCCTGAGGAAACCCATGTTGTTCTGAGGGTATGAATTTATGTCATGCAGTTTCATAGTCAGAAGTGTTATCACTGTGATATTTACGCTGAAACTGACTTCTTTTAGGAGTGAGATACTTACTCTGGTTGGTCGCTATATGATAAATACGTTCAACTAAAGAAGAAATCTCTAACCGGTTTAGCTTAAAAAAAGTAAATAAATAACCGGACAGATCATTTTTACATGTAACACGCTCTGACTATACTATCCATGGCGGCAATCAAAGTTTAAGAATGAAATCAAAAAACACAATACACTCTAAACTATCCTCCTGAGCTGCAAAGAAAGTAAATGAAATGCCAATTTATAGCCGAATAAGTTATAATATCTATATGTTAATTAAACTCTAATAAGATTAATGACAGAGTACATAGAATTTCATAAGCAAGAAATAGAATAAATAGTTATTAGCTTTCATTTATGTTTCAATAAGACAATTGCTCAGGTTTGAACAAATTAAGTTAAAATTTTAAAACTAATAACTGTTTTTTTTAAAAAAGGAAATGTTTCTCTAGAGATGGGAAACACTAGTAATTGATAAATTAAATTCAATAATGTAAGTCGTTCAAGTTGTTGAACAACTAATTGATTACTTAGACAAATCTCATGGAATATATAATTTGAATTGTTGAGATCATGAGTCAATTGAAGCTAGACCACCATGGAAACCTGAAAGCACTGGACGGTCGTTTCGGCCTATTATCGAACGAAACGGCCGTCCAGTGCTTTCAGGTTTCCATGGTGGTCTAGCTTCAATTGACTCATGATCTCAACAAATAAAATTACTGTAATATCCACAAAACCCCTTCTGATACGAATTTATAATTCTTAGAATTTCTCACTATCCTTTCAGTGTGCTAAAGTCATTCAAATAGATAAAGTTTGGAAGACTTTAGATGTTACAGTGAATAAAACATGTCATGAAATTTACAATTAAGCATTGGTTTCTTTTTCAGTGAGAATTAATTTAGAAGATCCATTGGTCCAAAGTCTTCAGGTGCTCGATCATTCCGTATAAGAGTCAAAATTCATAAAATTAGTTCAATATCAAAAGTAAAGAACATCCATTAATTGTACGAGGTTCACTGTAGATGTATTGAGAAGTATCATGTTACTAAGACACAACTGCTTTTCCAAAATTTAAGCATTTGGTTTACAGAATAATCGTGTCTTTTTTAAAACTACTGTCCAGTCAACATTATCAGAACCAGAGCAGACTGAATCTGATAAGTTATTTCAACTAATTGTAAACAATAGAAATAATATATACAGAATAACAACGGAAAAAATGTTGCACCTATGAGGGGGATTGGGGTAAAATTGTTTTTTTGTCACACAGAGAAACACAAGCTTGATTTCAATGTAGTTTATTAACAACAACAAAATTTACGACTAGATTCCTATATTAAACGTGTTAACCTTAGTTCATCTCCTGCTTCTACAAATCAAGCTGTTCCGAATCATCTATGGAGCGAATAATTAAATTAATTTATGGTAATATCTGATCAGGGGCGGACTGGTGATTAAAATATCCAACACGCAGGCATTAGGTGAAAGGTTTAAACTCTATTCATTTAATTACAGTTTAGTAAGTTGATATTGTTAGATCTCAGTCAAAATATATAACTCACAAGTGAAAAGTGATCAAGAGTGTGGAAATTAGTGAAAGTTTGTAAATGTTTCTGTCATACTAATGAAGGATCCTTAAAGTTTCTACTCTATGTTTATGGTTGATGTATCTTATGTTAAATAGCGGGATTTGACACGATTAGAATGTAAATGATGATCTTATTACTTTATCAGTTAAGCCTTCTCCCTTTTTTTGAGTCCTCACTTTCATTTATTGACAATTGATATTTATGGTTGTGTTGTTTAATCTATCTCCTTTTCTCTAATCTTCTAAATTCCAAGTCGACGCTTATCTCTTGATGAAGATCTTTTATTTGTAAATCTTAACTGTTAGTATGGGATTATCCGTAAGTAGAAAATGATTTAGCATTTAGGAAGTTGTATTGACAAGTTACGCAAAAAGAAACTGCCACTCAGAGTACATAAAGATGTAACAAACTTCCCTTCATCATCATCATCATCATCATCATCATCATCATCATCATCATCATCATCATCATCATCATCATCATCATCATCATCATCATCATCATCATCATCATCATCATCATCATCATCATCATCATCATCATCATCATCATCATCATCATCATCATCATCATCATCATCATCATCATCATCATCATCATCATCATCATCATCATCATCATCATCATCATCATCATCATCATCATCATCATCATCATCATCATCATCATCATCATCATCATCATCATCATCATCATCATCATCATCATCATCATCATCATCATCATCATCATCATCATCATCATCATCATCATCATCATCATCATCATCATCATCATCATCATCATCATCATCATCATCATCATCATCATCATCATCATCATCATCATCATCATCATCATCATCATCATCATCATCATCATCATCATCATCATCATCATCATCATCATCATCATCATCATCATCATCATCATCATCATCATCATCATCATCATCATCATCATCATCATCATCATCATCATCATCATCATCATCATCATCATCATCATCATCATCATCATCATCATCATCATCATCATCATCATCATCATCATCATCATCATCATCATCATCATCATCATCATCATCATCATCATCATCATCATCATCATCATCATCATCATCATCATCATCATCATCATCATCATCATCATCATCATCATCATCATCATCATCATCATCATCATCATCATCATCATCATCATCATCATCATCATCATCATCATCATCATCATCATCATCATCATCATCATCATCATCATCATCATCATCATCATCATCATCATCATCATCATCATCATCATCATCATCATCATCATCATCATCATCATCATCATCATCATCATCATCATCATCATCATCATCATCATCATCATCATCATCATCATCATCATCATCATCATCATCATCATCATCATCATCATCATCATCATCATCATCATCATCATCATCATTTTAGTGACCATAAGTATGTATCTAGTTGTACACTGTCCAATAAAAAATAACCCTACTATTTGGGTTGTCTGTATCTCCTTTTACCTGGCGTAATACATGTAGCATATAGTTCGTTTACATTTCTGTCAACATTTAAGCAATTGGTTTCATGAAATAACTGAATTTCGACTGCATAGAAAGCACTAAATACAAAGTCACATTTTAAAAAATGATTTCAACTGAAATTCTCGTCCTAAATTCCTTGAACAAAAAAGAACATTTAAATATTTGCAAACATAATTTGATATTTAATCATGTACTTAAATAATACGGAAATTCTAAATGAATTAAAAGCTGATGTTATTTCCATTCTGGCTAACAAAAAAGCTTTACCATTAAACCCATTTAGCTCAGAAAATAAAATACTAGCAAAGTGGAATACTTTGTTACTATGAAACGGGAATATATAAGCAATGACTAAATGAAATTGTATTCTATTTGCCTACTCCATTTACGTAAAAAGTGCTGATATTATCGGAAACAAATCATATATGATATTATTGAAAATGAAATGTGAATTAAAAGAAATTAACTGTATTTTCTAGAAATAGGGCTGTGAAGAACGTCTTTTATTAGATTGTCGCTTAATAAAACCTTGAAGATTCCCAGGTTGTAACAATAAATAGTAAGAGTTTGAAGCGTTTGTTAACTCAATAGTTTGAGTCCGTTTGAGATTTGAAGGTCTATAGTTCGAATTTTAGGAGTTTTATATGTCGGCTGTTGAAAAGTCCCACACTAGAGTAGGATAGTTTTCCAGTGGTCCCTAATTCTCAACAATGGTCTAAATGGCCTCAATCCGTGATGTAAGCCAAAAGTCTATTTAGCACGAAAAACGAATGTATATATATATGTCATACATGAACTAATACTTATAAAAAAGGTAACCTTTAATATGATTTATGCTGTGATGATTGCAGCTTGTTTACCATTGCATGTTATGAATGTGGTAAGTTGAATTCAAGGTCATAGTTAATAAATTTAATGTTACACTATTTGAAGCAAAGATATTAGGGATGAAATGTTTCTGGTCGTAGTGAATATGAACTTAAAATATGGTACTAATCTAGTGTCTATTGATATAAATTCTTGATGGAGGTCAAAAGTCAGAAAATTCAATTAAATTCCCAGGGTTTCCTACAGATAAACTATTTCTCTGTTTAATATATTCGTAAATTATTAAGCAAAAATACATAAAAGGAATCTATTCAATGCTTGCTTAATAATAATAATATCCATTATTGTTCAACGGTTATATTCAGTATGAATCACATTAGTGATGATGCAAAACTTGTGATTATTTAATATTTTGAACATACTGAAGAAATAATTACATTTATTAAAATGTATTTTCAAAAATTTGTCCAATCTAAGTACGGTTTGCTTATAGCAAGACTTGAACGTATTGAATTCAATCTCATGTGGATTGTAATTTCCAAATTAGGGGTAATTAGATTCACTTGGTATTGTTTACTTGAATCTTCCCATTGATGTTTAGCACTGCAATTGATCAGTCTATTATTGGCGTATGTGCATACTGTGCGTATTGCCTCTATTGGCTGATAGTTCGCTTAAGGTTATCAGCATAACATACTATATAAACAAAGATGGATAGTGGCTAGCAGTGGAATCCAGGACGCGCGTTTCGTTCTATTTGGGACTCGTCAGCTGGATGTACGTGCATCTCATAGTTCATGTCCGCTCTGGGGTAATTAGTTTTAAATAGCGTATCAGCTTGAGATAAAAACATCTTTAAATTTAATTAATTATTGACATTTATTCAGTTTGACTTATTAGTTGAATGATTCATTGGTTAAATTGCTAATAATATTGATCATTGAATTAAGGATAATCAATTTGATATGAGTGAGTAATTAACAAGGATGCATGTAATGCTAAAGCGTCTTGATCAACGTAGAAATAAACAAGAAATTTGAAATGAAACCTTGTTCGCTGTTAGACTTGAGTGAGTGTTGTACTGATTCATTTGCTGATTTATAATATTAAGTGCCAATCACAGAATACTTCATGTAACCAACTCATTAATACAACTCTTGTGTTTTTAATTTTTTCCTTATACCTATAAGCGGACAATTATCTCTCATATTTCTAATCCGTCATTTATCCTCAGCCCTTCATTACTGAGTTGTTTATTTTAGTAATGATTTAGCTTTGTTATCGGTTCATTTGTTTAGATAATAAGAAAAAGTGATAAACGGATGAATTATCTTCTTATAAAATAATTTCTGTTGTAGTAGCTGACGTTAATTAGTTTACAGCTTTGTGTTAAACTAGTACGATTGTATACGTTTAAATGCCGACATTAAAAAATGACATTCTTAGACGTACTAAATATAAAAATAAACTTTTAAGTAAACAGTTTGAATATGCTAACGGCGGAAGATTGTCTATTGATAATAGTAGATGTTCTTTTTTATTTTATTTAACATTAATCTTGAAAATTGACGTTTATTTGTTTATGTCGTGATCGTTAAATAATGATCGTCCTCCCGTCTTCATGTCCTATGTTCTTACTTATACGTACTTTTCCACATGTACTTGTCTTAAACTCCTGATTTCACTATGTTTAAAAAACCCGTAGATGACCGGTATTTGAGGTGTTAATTAGTCTAAAACTCATTAAGTGAATGAGTCGAATGATTTACGAGACACCATTAATCAATTAGACAAACCGATATGTGATTATTTTATAGATTGTAGATGATCGGTTTACTACAAACCATAAATCTCAAAAATATTTTTGAAGTTATTCAGTGTTTAGTTACATTTAATTGTTTAAGGAGTGCCCGATGTTATCAGCGATATTCGATAATTACTAGTACTTTTCAAACAGTTAAATAAACCGCTGTTCAGTTCACAGTTGTGAAAACTTAGAATTTGTGCGTAGTATTCTTTTTTAAAGACATTTGTTTTACTTTGTAGCTTTCTGATTTATTTTAATCCTTATCAAACTTCTCCATTATCAACTGCATGCATCTTGAAACCGAGGGGAAGGAAGAGTATATTGTAAAAACTGTTCAGTTTGACTTTTGTTTTTAGCACAAATTGTCATTTTGATGATAATCATAATAATACTTATGTGCTCACTATTATCTTTGAGAAGAATTTTCAAGGTTTTAATGAGAATTCATAGTCAATAGTAATTGGAATGAGACAGTTCTGCCGATAACAGAGAATCATGGTCACAACGCATTGGAAATGATATTTAGGCTAGTGCCTTTCAACTTTATGGTCAGAATGTATCACGTTTACTGTGGAGCTTGATGGTCCTTGTTTCGATCCAGTGTAAGGACAGGAAAGTAGGATGATAAGGACTGTCAAGCTAAAGAATAATAAATATTTAACGCTGTTTGACAACCTTCGATAGCTTGCTAGGTACTGTCAATTTATGAGGATATAGTACTGAAATGTTTGCTTTTGAATATGATTGTAATATCGTCCCTTTCGTCGAATTATGGGCTCAATTAAGTGATGAAATAAAATTCTGAGGTACTTATTTGGATTAGTTTCAATAACCTTTTGATTGACATTATGCTAATAATTATATACAAATATATTTTGAAGTTAACAGTCGTAAACATTTTCATACTTAATTAGTTAATAGTGAATCATGTACTTCGAGTTAAAGGTATAAATCTGCAGATTTACCTGTAAGACTAACGTTTTTATTTGGCGCTCGTTTATAGATGACTCGTTTATTATTAATTACTTATTTCCGAATGAAAAATGAATGAATATAGATATGTAACGACACAATTTGAAATATCGTTTATCAACACAGTGAGATGAAGTTAACACAATATTAAAAAAAGGTTGAAGTAATAGTAATGTTCATGGTAGAAAGTACCAAATTTATTTAACAAAAACCAGGGAATAAAAAGTATATGATAATATTGAAATACAAGATCCAGTATTGAGATTTAGATGGTGGTTGGAGGTAGTCAACAGGAAACCCTGGACCCGGGTTTCGTGCTACTTGGCACTCGTCAGCAAGGTGTACCTGTAATCTGGAGGGAACTGGTGCTCTCTGGCGCATTCGATCTCGTGTCACACAGCTTTACAGTCAGAGACGTTACCACTGAACTATCCAAGCCGTGACTAACCTCCTGTAGGACTGAGATGTAATCACAATTGATTGATCACTGGGTGGTGATCAATGTCATGCTTGTTTTGTCCCTCAAGATTACAGGTACACCTTGCTGATGAGTGCCAAGTAGCACGAAACCCGGGTCCAGGGTTTCCTGTTGACTACCTCCAACCACCATCTAAATCTCAGTACATGGTGCCCGAAGTGTCGAGTCACCTAGACTGGTAGCCACATTGCAACATGATCGATAGCATTCGATCTGCGCTAATAAGGACTAGACAAGCATGACAATGATTACCACCAAATGCTCAATCAATTGTGATTACAAGATTCAGTAGAAAATAGGGAATGAATACATATAGGTCATTGGAGCCGATCTTAGAATAACACTACTTAACCATATTTCTGGATTATGGTCAGGAGTGAAATGTAGGGCATGCATTTCACTCTATCTGGAACTCATAAGCTGAACGTATGTGCATTGAAGTGTTAATGTTTGTATTATTACTTAAACATATTTCCTAGCGCCTCAAACTTAGATGCATAATCTATTGAACTACTGAATTCAGATATCTGTATAACTGTATATACTACTACTGGCCACAATATTAAAATCTAAAAAATTGGTTGCTAAAAGGAATATTAAGACATTTACTGAGGGTGGACTTACATCAACAGATATTGATCAAATTTCATTCTTAAATATAAAAAACAGCAAAGAAAAACCCCATATTACTTAGCTATTTCTTATATTTATCTTGCCGAAATCAACCGGGAAATCTGCTTTTTACAGTATCATACAAACGTACAGTTATTTACTTAGTGGACTGATACCAGTTTTTGATTCGTCTTCCGTCTAC